CTTTCCTACCCCACCATTACAACACACTAACCCACAGCAATGCGACTCTACCCAAGTTTACAACATTCGCATTCCCCTACAAGGACAAGCCACACTGACAGCCATCGGGCCGATCACCGCACCACTCGCATCATCATCCAACAGCACACCTACCATTTATTGCCTGCCGACACCCACCAACATACGACCCAATCATCCAGAAGCAGGCACGGGACCTCCGGGACCCTGGTGGGATGATGCTGGAGCGCCACCCTGAGAGAGCGCCAGACCTAATTCAAGGTCTTTCATTTTATGTACATGGTTTCTGACCCAATGCCTCCAGCGTATTGACCTTTCCAGCTATGAGAAAATATTTACAGTATCGAGTCTATGTTCATACTTATTTTGCTCTTCGAGATTTTCTGACGCTTGCCACTTGAGCTTCGATCGACTTTCCAAGTCACAATTTTGATTTTTCTCCAGTCTCAATTCTTAACTTCTCAGCCATTGTGGTTCAAACCATCAGTTTCGACTAACCTCGTGCTTATTGCTCTTTCGTGTACAGAACTACAACATTTCCCATCATGGACGCGCATCAACAATGGTGGCAACAATACTATGGCACCACGACACCCACTGCCGGCTATGGACCTCTCACCAATGCAGTTCGTCATCACTACCAACACCCCTATCACCAGCACCAACAACATCACGCCAACATTCCAGTTGATTCACCCAATACCTCTCCGGCACCACCAGCAACGTTTCCACCTGAACCCCTGCCCCCACCCGCAGCATCTCACCACCCAACGCCTCCACAGCTTGGTGTGGTACCCCCCAACATCCCCAACCTACCTGACACATGGACTCCCAGCGACACACATTTGGATACCAATACCGTACATGGTCACACATTGTTTCGGACAATTCAGCCGACGCAGTGGTCCAGGAAATACAACCTCGCAGGACAACAAGTCCTCGACATTTTCCCATGGCAGCTCAGCCGTTTTTGGCCTCCAGGACCACAGCCTCCGCATCCTGTCCCAAGGACGCTACACAGGCATTGTCACCACCAGATCCATCGCGGAGGCGGTCTTCACTTCACAATTGCTGCCAGAGATGAGGGCCCACAACCTGGACATCGACAACATCGCCGAATATTTGCACCAACAAGCAGATCAGTCCATTCCAAACAAAACCACAGAAGCCAAACAATTCATGCAACCACTTATTTCTCGCATCATTGACTTTCTACGAGGCCTTACACCACCAGCCGGCGAAGGCACAGCACTCCGAAAGCTCCAGCAACAGACAGATCGCTTACAACAACAAGAGAGCGAACTCCAGCGCGCTCGCGACAAACTGAAGACTCATGGCATTGCGCTCACACCAACCAAGCCAGGATCACAACATGCCCCATCATCCGCCACCCACACACCGCATCTCCCACTCCCAGCCTCTACCGCCATCACAACCACGACCATTCTCAATCCCACCACACAAACACTCCATGACAACTCACCAGCCAACTATGCAGCAGCTGGCATTCAGAAATGGCTCAAGACATTACCGCCAGCCACTCAGACACAAGTCACCAACATCCAGCAGATTCTACGAGATGAACATATCACCAAAGAACAACTCCAAGAAGCAGCTACCCGCTACGGCATCCCGCTGGCTCGGGTCCTCAAGCTTCCCCCACGTTCACTACAGCAACTGGTCGCCGCGGGTTCGGCATTGGCAGCCTGACTCGTACAACAAGCACTGCATCAACCAACACATCACACCCTACAATCTTTAACAACATTACACACAGCCCTATCACACTTTGTCCATTTCACACCCTACATTGACAAGTCACACGCCATCTTTTCTGTCAGTCTTATTCACCTCACACGCCTCTTTGCCTTTCCTTCGCAAACACATCACTCTATACAATGGCGCTCCCGTTTCAACCAACTACAAGTTACACCACACACTTATCACTACAAAATGTTCACACATCCCAATGCGGTTTATGCCAAGCTCTTTTTCAACCAACATCACACAAGACACCAGTACCACCAACATGGACATACATACATCGGCTCTACCAGCATCACCACCCCCAAGCGAGAATACAATCGACACGCAAAACTCAAACAATTACACAATAACCATCCCATTTCAGCTGAACTTTCTCTACGCTACTGGCACTCCAAGAACAACCTCCACCACTACAGCACTATTTACCTTTCCCATCACGACACCTATGATCAAGCATGGACCTACGAACACCTGCGGATCCAAGAATGGCAACCTACACTCAATTGGCCCTATATCCAAAGACACCTCAAACTCAAAGCCTCAGGTTGGCAATTTTCAAAACATCGCACCACTTTCACACGGATGTCCACTCACAAACGTCTTTTCCAACGGCTCCGACGACGACAACACACCATCAAGCAACCCCACCTTCACACAAGTCAACGCCTACACGCCCTTACAGTTTTACGCGAGCTCAGCAAGCATACACTTTCATCTTTTCAAACATCCACAGCCATCCGCAGCGGCAAATACACTGATCTTGAAATTTACGCTTTCCGTCGAATGGCCGCCAGCCTGGAGGAACCAGATCGATCACGTGTTCTTCACCTTCTCCACTCAGCACTCAGCTTTCGCAATCTCACTCCACCCAAAGCCAACAAACCCTTTACCATTCCTTTCCTCTCCCACAATTCCTTCTCGTCTTCCACGGAAAAATGGCTTCGCACACTGATCCAACACCACATGCATCACGTCATTCCCTTCCACCCCCCTACTACCAAACTACGCGAAGCAGCACACAAGACTTTGCGTTCCCGGCTCTACAACCACAAACGTTGGGAAGAACTCTTCTCCACACATCCCACAGCCGCTGACATGCCATGCAGCTGCCACCACATGCACACCTTGCTTCGTCCCAACCACACACCGCCGCTCTACGATGGTCACTACGTACTTACACTTGAAGACCTACAGCTCCCCAGCCATCTTGAGCTATTCATACAAGCCAACATGAACAGCACTTTCTTTCCCACAAAGACGCAATATTTCCAACACTTTGAACAACAACTCACTCACTGGCTACGACACCATGGTCTACCCACTGCCCTCCATCAACACAGCCTACCTTTTCTACACCAACAATGGAAACAGCACATCGACAATCTTCTACACACGCCCCGCTTTACCTCCCGCAACGTTACACAGCTTCAACAGTTTCTTACAGACAAGCTGGTACTCCATCATGCTGACCATGAACTACAAAACCTACGACTCTTTTGCCCACAGCACTACTTCCACGGATGTCTCACCACATGGAATACACCACAACTTTTTCTCCCACTACCAGATCTCACAGCCCAACAACTCCAACAAGTTCTCACACAATCTTTTCCAGCCAGCATTCGCAAAGCATACCCCTGAGGTTTCCGCACAAAATTCTACACACCACATGGAGTAGTTTTCCTCAAACAAAAGAAATCCTGGCGAAAGGGTAGAACAGTCATCAGCTATTTCAAATCCATCGCAGGCACATTATTACGAGCCACCTCCAAAGCACTTGACATTATGCTCCTTCATCTTCTACCCCAACATCCAGGCCAATTATCTATACCCAACCTTTGGCAACACCTCCACAACCATTTCCAGACCACACCCGAAGACATCCACTTCACACCAATCAACGACGACCTTGTCGGCTTCTTCAACAGCGTTCCTCAACAACGCCTTGTCGACGCAGTCATCAGCCTGTGCAACCGCTGGAAAGCACAACACAACACCACTACCATCACCATCGATGTCCAGTCTACCGGCAACCCCATCCAACACTCACACATCGGTCGTCACTACATCCACCACCCACAACAACGCACACTTGACACACAACACATTCCTCTTATCGTTCAACAAGCTCTTCACTCATGCATTTTCCAAGCTTGCAACACCTACTACAAACAAATTCAAGGAGCCGGCATTGGCAGTCAGCTCTCACCAGCACTTTGCAATGTGGCAATCACGCTCATCGAACACACTTGGCGAACCACATACCACACCTTCTTACAACAACCAAGCCTTCACTTGCTCAACACTCGCTACGTCGACAACCGATACATCTTGCTCAACGAACAGTACAGATCAGCACTCCCCATCACTACGTTGGCCCATCCTGAATTTTACGAACAACCAGTTGAAATAGAGCCAGTGGACGACGACCATCTACTCGGTTTCTTGATTGACCCTCTCAACAGAACCGTCACCTTCCAACTCCCCACCCATTCCTGGCAAATTCGGGATCCGCAGTCCGCAGGGAGTCACAGACTACGCCTCTCAGGCTTACAATCACGCCACCACACACTACAAAAATACACTTACCCCAAACATCTCGCCTACACGACCGCACAGAAGTTGATGCAGCTATATATGGCCAAAGGCCATTCACCAGCACACTGCGCCGCGGCGCTGCGGCCAAGAAGAAAAAGACTATGTGCCAGCACTTCCGCAGACTGCTGTGATGTGTATTTTACAGTATAGAACCTTTCAATGTCACGCACTTCCACTATTTATTATCCGGACCTTACCTGATCTGATCTAGTTGCGCCGATACGGCTCAGTGTGTGTGTCCACTCCTGTTTCCAAGGACACTACCCTAGTTTCGCTAATCTACTCTACAAGCGTTTCTGTACAGACGCAGGGGGCCAGCGGCCGACAAGCAAACGCTGGCTAACAAAGCTATGCTTGCTCGGTGGATGCGGTCAGAGACGTCTGACTGTGTACCTGCAATTTTTAATATACACTAAATTAATACTTCTTGTTGAAACATTCAAGTGAGCGGACTTTGCACTTCTTTCCGTTGAATCAAGTCAAGGGCTAAGTATTCACCTAAAGGGCTAATGCACACTGCGAAGCTACCTGAAATCACGCTCCACGGAGCAACCTTCTCAAGTGTGTGTTTTGCTTGTTTTGGCTCAAGAGTGGGGCTCCCAACAGCGCCCTGAGAGGTCTGGGAGAGCTCCCCTCTTTGACGGTGCTGCACCTGTCATACAATCGCTTGACCGGGGAAATTCCCAGAAGCATTGGGCACCTGAAGTCGTTGCAAAGCTTGCACCTGGAGAGCAATCACCTTTCAGGCCCAATCCCAGAAGAACTCTGGACGCAGAAGTTGCAGGACTGCCTTTTTGTCTCTTTTTGTAACGTGTTTTGCCCCAAACAGGTTTACCTGTGAGGGTTTCTGCCTCCTTTGAAAGGGGTGCATGTCCAGGCCGCATGATATTACATTTGTCTCTGGGCTTGCGTTCCTGCCACGCTGTGGTTGCTGTGGCCGCATGATTTTACACTTGTCTCCCACTTGTCTCCCACTTGTGCCCCACTGTCACCAGTCTCCTGTGGGTGCTTTGGCCGAATGATTTTGCACTTGTGGGTGCTCTGGTCGCATGATTTTGCACTTATCTCGCACTTGTCTCCCACTGTCTCCAGTCCCTTGTGGGTACGCTGGCCGCATGATTTTACACTTGTCTCCCATTTGTCTCCCACTGTCTCCACTCTGTGGTGGGTGCTCTGGCCGCATGATCTTACACTTGTCTCCCACTTGCCACCCGCTGTCTCCAGTTTGTTGTGGGTGCTCTGCCCGCATGATTTTACACTTGGCTCCCGTTTGTTTCCCACTGTCTCCAGTCCCTTGTGGGTGCGCTGGCCGCAGTCTCCCGCTTGTCTCCCGTTTGTTTCCTTTGGCCGCGTGGGAGCGACTTGCCAGGACCACTTTAAACCTCTTGCGCACTGCTCTTGCGCAGGACACCACAAGACGCAGACTTCAAACTCGGCGCATTGCTCTCTTCGACGTGTACATTCACATACACCCACCACCACTCCCACGCACGCAGACACGCGACCACCCGTAAGACAACCACCACACGCACTTCCAAACGACAACCCCCAACCAACCACTGGCCGCATGGTTGTACATTTCGGTCCCACTTGTCTCCCACTGTCTCCTGCCGCTGGGTGTTCTGGCCACGTAATTTTTCTTTTGTCTGCCACTTCTCTCCCAATGTTTTGTGTGGGCTCTGCCTGCATGATTTTACACTTGTCTCCCACTTATCTCCCACCGTCTCCAGTCCCGATTTCCCGTGGGCCCTCCACCTGTCTTCCACTGTCTCCAATCCCTTGTGGGTGCTCTGGCCGCATGATTTTACACTTGTTTCCCATTTGTCTCCCACTTGTGCTCCACTCTCTCCAGTCTCCTGTAGTTCCTTTGGCCGCATGATTTTTACACTTGTTTCCCATTTGTCTCCTACTGTCTCCAGTTCGCCGTGGGTGCTTTGGCCGCATGATTTTACACTTGTCTTCCACCGGTCTCCCATTCTCTTCACTCTCCTGTAGGTGCTTTGGCTGCATGATTTTCTTGTCCGCATGATTTTGCACTTGTCTCCCATTTGACTGCCGCAGTCTCCAGTTGTTTGGTGGTGCTGTGGCCATATGATTTTACACTTGTCTGGACTTGGATCAAACAAACTGTCTGGGGTCAACGCTGGTATAATTCTTTTGGACTGCATTGGAGGGTTGAAGAATGTTGAATATGGTTAAGGTGAGTTCTTCCTAGTTCTGCTGCAAGATGAACTATATGTACCTTGGTTCAAGACCTCTTTAGCGACCCGCTAGTTCATGATCAGGATGTGCATCTCAATGGAAATGCCTTCAAGGGTCCTTTGCCACCGTTTCAGCACATGCTAAACTTGCAGCTCTTGGACCTGGGCAACAACTTCTTTGAGGGCGAAGTGCCCCCCCCTCCCACGAAGCCTGGAACTCTTGGATCTGAGCCATAATGACTTCGTTGCCAGGCAAGAAGAATCATCCGTTCCACTATCGAATGAGGATTCGCGTTGGTTCACGTTTGACACCTTTGGACAGATTGAGGTAACGGTTCAGGGATGACCATTGGTTCCGTGTTTAAACACTGGTCAACTCCGCATTTGTGTGTAACAGGTCACATGGAGTTTGGGAACCAGCCCTTTCGCTTTTCCCTTTGGTGTCAGACGTGTGAGTGAAGCTGCTTGTACTGAGGCTGGAAGTGTGGCTTCAGTGGTGGAGCCTTTCTGCAACTTGCAGTCGATCGGAGGCCAACTACGTGAGCTGCGCCTGAATCACAACCGCTTTATTGGACGACTGCCACCCTGTTTGATGCAGTTTCGCAACCTCTCCAAATCAACCAACGTTTTTTAACGTGTTTCTTGGATTTTCCTGTGTGTTTGGATGGGCTTTAAGGATTTGTTGACAGATGCTGATCACCAGGTAGGTTGAAGCACCTCTCTCTGAACAACAATGGTTTGTCGGGCTTGATTCCAGAAGTCGAAGCCACTGAGCTGGTGGTTCTGACGCTACATCGAAACTCTTTCTCTGGACCTATCCCGAGATCCTTTCAGAACTTAGAACACCTCTCAGTTCTGACATTGCATGAAAATTCCTTCCGCGGCCCGATCATTCCGCTTCGCCTCACTTCGCCTTGCATTGACAACCCTCGATTTGAGTTACACTCGACGACTTGCTACATCCTTCGTGTCTTTTTGGAGGCTGAACAAACAGACTGTCGTGCTCTCATGGAGCTTCTTCATTACCCGATCCTTGAGGTGGAGCTAGTCAGACTGAACTGCCCCGACCTGTGTGGGACCTGCGACAGCGAGGGCAGCTCCAATGCTACTTTTCATCACAATCGCTTTTCATGCCACGTCCCTGACACAATTAGCAGCAACAACACAGCCATTCATGCTACAGGAGTGATGGGAAACATGCTCGGTCAGGGTTTAAGGCTGAATGCTTCATGGATCTCTGCGGAAGAGAACCAAGCATTTCTTTACTATTCGCCCAAGGTGCCTTGGATTTTGCAGAGTTGAAACTTCCCCAAGCGGCCAAGTAGATCATGTGCTGAAGTGATGGGATGCTCTAATATGTGGAGCGGATCCTGTGCTCAGGTCTGGAATGACAATTTGTTCGTGATGGTCCCCATGGTGCTGCTGGTGCTCACCTTCGCACTGTTGCATCGACCCTTACAGCATCAGCTGAGAAAGGCTTCACGGAGCCTATCTTCAGGAGCAGCATCTCGCGTGGCAGCATCCAACCTCACACTGATCAAAGTCGCAGGATTATCCATTCTAATGTCATGGCCGCTTCTGATGATTTTCTGGGCAGGCACTGGTTATCATACCTGCAGCCCTCCCTTGTCTCAGATCACCCTGGCCAATCTGCAAGAGAATGTTTGGGGAGAGCTCGGGGTGGTGGTCGCATGGTGTGGAGCGGTCCTCTTCTTTCGATCAATCCTGCTGAGTATGCCCAAGACAGCGGAGAGCCCGCTGAGATATAGCATCTTGGTGCGGTTCTGGAATCAATCCCAACTTCTCAAGTGGTTAAGGCACACCTTGTCCATCTAAGCTGAGGGCCCAGAAATCACCAGCTTTCTTCTTTTCAACCGTTTGAACATGTTTGAACCACACCCACGATCCCTACAACTGGCGACAATTACCATCCCACTAGACTCACTAGGCAGCTATGGCACTGGCACGTTTTGTCCACTCGCCCTCTACGAAGCTTCACCTTAGACGGCCCAGCTCGCTCGAACTCTCGGTCCCTCACCCAGGTCGGGCGCGAGGTCCGAGCATGAAGACCCAGGTGTTGAAGGGCCTCGCGTGGCTTCTGTGGCTTGGCGTTCCCCCCCCACAAGAAGGGCGATCGTCGGGGTGGGGAGAAGCATCCAAAGAGCCGTGACCGTGAAAGCCACAGCACCAAAACACGGGTATAGGCTAGGACACTCATGCGAGGTTCAATCAAGAGTTGTCAGGACAAGAGAAGTACTCTTGCTTTTTGGAAAAGATGATTTGAAACATGCAGAATTGAGAGAACTGTCCAGATCTAGCGTTGATTACAAGACTTCATGTAGACTCTTGATTAGGCCCTCCCATTTGAATTAGAAGTCTCTTCATATGGGGGGTTTATTAATCAAGAGTCTACATCGGGTCTACATTGCTTGAAGTACTTCATGGGCAAGAAAGTGCATCTTGGTGGACTGCAGTCCACGAGCACTCAGCTTTACACACAACTTCGCTGATTGAGGGCGATGTTTCCTCAACATTTTCTGTGAAAAAAGTCATGGAACGAGGCAGGAACAAGGCAGGAACCAGCGACTCCGGGTCCTGGAAGGTGGTTCTCCTTTGTCAGTGTGCTCTCAATGCCCTCCATTCTGGTGGCGGCAGTGCAGGCGCACCCTGAGGGGCTGAGAGTGATGTTTTATTTTGTGCTCTAGAGACATATCAGTAGAAGAGTCATGGTGTTGATGGGCAACATCCACAAAGCGCGGCACATTTGCATGTATTGTATATCTAGATACACCATGATACACCTATCTCTATACAAAATATATAATGTATTTTTAGTGCATGTGAAGGATTGCGTCCATCAATTTGGTCCATCAACCAGAGGTCGTTTTTGTTTGACCGGTCATCATGGGAGGAAGAGATCAGAGCCTGATAATGAGGGCATGTGAAATCCAGAAAGAGATTCATTCAAATGACAAGTCGGTAGTGATGCAGTGGAACATTGTGCATTGGCCTTGTTGCATGCTTTCCCTGAGCCAGCCCTCTTTAGGCCCTGCCGAAGACTGTGAATCAGGAGTGGTTTAGCCACATCCATTCGGCTGCGCCGTTTCTCATTGTCGCCATTGATACTGTGGTGGCCAGCGCTCTCTCCATGCAGTACTCAGCTCGAAGTGGCATTAAGGCCCCTCGGGCGCTGGACGATGGGAGGGTGCAGGATCCGTTTGGGTTGCTTGAAGACTGCTCTTTGTGAGGGCAGCCGGCCCTTGCAATCAACTTCTCCAAACTGTATCCTGCCTGGTCAGTCATTGTCAGATTGCAGCTACTATAGCAAAAGAAAGGGCTGAGAAACTATAGGCGATTTGTATGCCTTCCACCTTTATTTGTTTGCAAAACGGTTCTTGTGCCCAGCCCAACATCGCGCATACCAAGATGAAGGAACCCCTGCCAATCATGAGGTTTGGAACGAATATGCTTTCACCCCGGCCAGACCTGGGATGGCCATGAACAGATTGGAGAAACACCATGTTCCCCCTCAGCTCCCTTCGAGCTAAACATCAGGCGGATCGTCTCTTGATGACCTTCCGGCTCTTTTCGGCTTGGCTTCTGAGTCTTCTGACCACTGTCTTCCTACATGAGAACTGCCTGGGAGGATGGAAGCTGTTTTGGATCGTTTGCAGAGAGGAGGCACCTGAGCATCAATCCTTCAATTGGAAAATCTGGGATGAAGAGATCCTCAATACCAAGAAGGAGCGATCCAGCAATCTGTGGCTCCGCACACCATATGAACCATTCCAGGCATTGAATTCCAACACTATGTCTAACCTCTCAAGACCAGTCGGGTTGCGTCCCATCCTGCCTTAGGGCTCTTCGTCCCATCTGATCTTTTGCAATCACTGCCATCATCACAACTTCCGAGCCGTCTCTGATCACTGCTCCGTCACATTTGCGAGCCTTAAGAGTTACCTGGAGGTACCAGATTGTTGTTGGTATTTCAAAGACAAGCCCTTTTTGCAGTCGCAATCGATCGCTTTTCTTGTGCTCCTCACTTCTTCCTTGCTCCTGTCATGCGAGGACATGTGCTCCCTGAACCTACTCTGGTGGCAAGATGGCCGTTGTTCGCGGTCGATCGTGGAGGGTTTGACGGCGCTGCTGCTCAAGAAGCTCCTGATTCGGAGCACGCTGCAGCCCTTGGTAATGCTGGTCCTGTGGAGTTCCTTGATACGACTTGAGAAGGCTGCCCCATTCAGAAGAGGCAGCAAGAGAAATGACAGGTCGCAGTCCATGGGTGACAATGGAGGTTGCAGTAGATCATGGAAGACCTGTGTAAAGTGCTTGATGAAGATCACCATACTTCAACTCTTTTGATACTGGAAGTGCAGTCTCTTGCCACCGCATTTCAAGACAGCTTAGGTGTCTCCCGGCCAGAACCCACTGAACATCCAGAAGAGGGACGCCATTTGCAGCTGCTAAAAGGGCCCAAGACGACCGGCTCCTTGCTGCCTCTGCAACAAATGGCTTTGTTGACCACTTACATCGAGACGCTCTTTTTTTGGTGTCCGTTGATTCCCTTGTTGAGAGCCTTGTTTGCAACAGCTGAAAGCTAGCAAATGTGTGAGCCTAGATGATATTTCAATAGTGCTATGTCAGGGTGCTAGTAATGCAATGTGTCACGCAAAACAACTTCAGCATCACATCATTATCATTTTTTGTCGCGGTCAAGGCAAATAATGTTTGGCAGATTCATTCGCCCAAATTACATTGCTTAGGCATTGGAATTCTCAGCGCTGCGGTGGCCAACTTATTCTTATTTGACGTTGCAATCTGGAGATTCCATGTCAGACTGCCTTCAGATACGAGAAGTCGAGATGCTGGGATTTCCAGGTGCTTTGACGCATTTGTGCTGTAAACTTAAGCTTTCATTGCATTCTAAGGGCTGAAGGACGCACTTGTCACTATATACTACCCTAGTTCTGTTTCCAGCGTTCCTGACTTGGACAGATACCACCCAACCAACACAGCTCCTCATGACTTCAGCAGCTTTGGTTTTTAACCTTTGGACCTTTGTGATCATTTGGTGCTCTTCGTCAGGTCATATTTGAGCTTTTCGCTGGGTGCCAGCTGTTGCTTCCAGGTTTGGCATGCATTCTGCACTGAGATGTCGGGCCGATACCTCTTGCTAGTCGCCAATGTAGCTTGGATTGTGCTACGAGGACATTCTGAGCATTTCAAAGGATGAGGATTTGTTGATTTCTGGGTGCGTATTTCAACACAGCCTCCTTTTCATCCTTTTTCAAACTTTTGGCAGAAACCAACACTCACTTCAGTATGCTTCCGGTGTAATCGGGAACGTCAATGGGCGCTATTCTGGTTAGACTTCTGAATCAGCTTTATGTAGCGTGTCGCTTTGCCACCGCTTTTGCGTTTACACATGTGATCGAATGTGTATTCTCTTTGTCCCTCCATTCATACATAGGGCAAGTTGAGCCTCAATGGTTGTCAGTTTGGTGGTGTATGCCAGCTATGCAATTTTTTGCCCTGGTCGACATTCCTGTGAAAACGGCATTGTTTCTCTGCCATCCATCATCAATCCTCCTTTGGTTGGTCCATGGCGGTCACCGTGGTCGCCCTGACCGTTAAGTGGCCTTCAGGTGGTGCTCTTGGGACCCTGGGCCCGTCGACTTTTGCCTCTGGACCGGGCGAAGAACTTCTTCTGGGCCGATCTCATCCGTGCCGGTGAGGCGGAGGTCATTGAGCTGGCCATCCGCATTGATGTGGAAGGGAGGGACGAGGACTCGAATGTGGCAGGTCTAGATCTGCTATGACTGCTGTGACTGCTGTGACTTGTAGGCACAGCGCGTGAAAAAGAGTCATGGGCAGCCAAGCATGGATGCTGGGAAGATGCCAGGTAGAGGAGGCCTTGGGCTGGGTTCGATGCTCACGATTTTTCGTAGAACTTCTTTGTTCCTTTATGGCTTGTTGGAGAAGAGAAGACTGAGGATCCCTCAGAAGATACTGTAGTTGACCGAACACATCCTCGCGATGGTGCTTGCGTCAAAGGATTTGTTTCAACTACCGTTGAGCACTTGAGCGGAGGACATGAGATGGATTTGTGAGATTTCCACAGAGTTGGAATGCAAAAGAACTGCAAAGAACTAGAAAGAACTAGCCACATTTGTTGGCTGTTTGACTGCCACATTTTGGCTGTGAAGATGACGGGCCAAACCATGTCGGGTGATGAGGAAAACACCCCCGCACAAAAGAGAATCCCGGAACATGATACAAGGCTTAAAGTAGGTCCTGTCCAATGCACTCCTTCAAAGGTATCTCTCTTCACATGCTCTAGCAGTACAATACACGATCCAAAGAGCAGAGCACCTTCTCTTAAGTCTTCCAGAGACGAAGCCGAAGAACCAAGATATATAGGCAACCTTCTGGTTTAGCATACGGCGCCACGGCGCAGCTCGGTCGTGCCGCCATGGCACCAAAAGGCAGGCCAAGGACGAAGCCGAAGGCTCGGATCACTTCGCTGTTCGCTGCTCGGCGTCTATCTGAACATGTAGGGACAGCTGCCAGCTTGTCGGGCAGAATAAATAGGTGCACTTCACATTGGTGAACTAGATCCTGAGGCCTTGAAAATCCTTGAAGCTTTAGAAAGAGATCAAGAATATCCATTCAGTTTGAGCATCGCAAAACAACCCCAAAGACATGGATGGAGCAAAGCCTCTTGAAAGAGCTCCTGTTCAATAGCAGGACCACTAGGGAACCCATGGTCGCTTTAGATGCAATAGTCTTCTCAGTAGCACCACATGGCCTGACAGTCAGGCAGTGGCAGCTCCGGCGAGAAGCCCCAAAAGTCGGCATTCTCGAAGTGGCAGACTTTCGTTGATGCTTGGGAGATCAATACCCCGGATGCCACCATGTCTACATCATTCTACATCCACGTGAAGAAGATTGGTCAAAACTGTACTCTATGATTGGGACAGATGTTTTGGAGTTTGGATTGGGAAGATCCCTGTGACCACCCTGTAGTTTGCCTCCGCAATGGATGGTTTTCTGTCCAATGTTGGATCCTGATTAGCAATAGGGTCCTTACCAATGCTATTCCTTTCAAACATGTATATTTCTGGACATCTTGTTTGTTTTAAGTGTTCTCTATAGTGCTAGATTTATTTGGTCCTACTTTTTGTGTTATCCGAAAAATAGTTAGGGTGTTAACTCCTTCTGAGCTGAATGCTACTGTGCCAATGACCGGCTTGCTAAGATGGGTTTCTCTAGTTCTTCTTCAAAAAGAACTAACAGCTTCCCAAAGCCATCAATTCCTTAATTAATCCTTTATGTGAAGATTGCTCCTAAATACATGTTCAAGGTAGTAGACCAGGAAGGCCCCTGATCCTCAATAGAAACTTTGTGTTCAGGGGTGTTAAGGGTCCTCAGCTGTGAAAAGGTGTTTCCCCAGAAAAATAAATATAACACACACACACGCGCATGAACTCTTAATACGACTAAGCCGATGACTGGCTTGCTGAGATTGTTGACTCTCTAGTTCTTCTTCAAAGCTTACAGCTTTTAGTAGTATAAAAGGATTGCTGAGAATATCTAATTACAAAGAACCTGAGAGAGGATGCTGAATATTTACAATCTATGAAATGAAAAGAACGGAAAATCAATGCCACAATCAATTGCACTTGGTGGTAGTTTATGTTGGAGGCCCTCCCACTTATTTAGACGGAGGGGGATCCCTCTTGCTAATCAGGATCCACCATTACAAATCACGGTCCAAGTTCATCGCAGCAAGTAGTAATTACCTGGGAACCACCCGGCCTGCGACTGCACAGCATGTTTCACCTTTGGTAAAGTCTTGGAGCCTTGGGCACTGGCCCTTCAGTGTTACTGAGGCCACGGACGAGTTGGCGGGAGGCCGTCCCCGAAAGGGGGGCAGACTCGGGAGGTTGATCCGGAAAGCCTCCACCAACAGGATGCTATTATTATGTTCTTCACCAAATTATTGGGACAGGCGTTCCAATAGTGCTCAATGTTGATACAACCTTGGATCCGATGAAGTCAACCAATGGCAAAGATTGGGAGGGTGTGTATCTGCCTTGCAGGCACCAGGCCGCGCAAGCAGGAGCAGCTGCCAGTGCATCTTGACATCAGGGACTTTACAACTGGGGGGCAGATGTACCCTGAACATGTGCATGTGCACATCTCAATTTCCTTGGGGTACAACGGGTATAACTCCCGCAGCTTGCCCTTGCTTCACCAAGCCCCCCGAGGCGCACCGAAGCAAGCACCGAGGCACTTGGCCGTGCTTGGCTTCGTGGCAGATGAGCCAGACCCCCGAGCCACGGACCCGGAGCAGTTAGAGAAACTGCGCCAAAGCCAGGAGGTGCTCTGGAGGGCAAAAGGGTGTTGCCAGACCCAAATGCACAGGGTGAAACGATAGGGTTCAATTGTCTTATTGTGGGGAGCTCTTCTTGTGTTTTCGTTTTTCAAAAACTACGACTTGGCGATCCTTTTTTGTCTCCTGCTCAAGAAACGAGCGGTTTTGCTCGCCGAGTAGCCTTGGTTCCCTTTCTTGTCCCAAGCAGTCGGAATGGGTGGTGCAAGACAGGTCTGATCCGACTTCAGAATCATATGGAAGTGAGTATATGGAAGTCCTGAAGCCCAAAGATGCCATACAGTGATCCAAAAAACTCGAAATGCCTTTGGACTGTCCCCCAAAATGCACATGAACAATAACCCAACGCTCCATGATGTCATTTGTTCTTCACTCATGAGATTGTCTAATTTAAAGGAGGTCTTTCGATTCCAAAAAGTTTGATATGTATCTGTTGATCCCCCCCAATCCCCCCAGTTTCCAGAAAGAAGCGAAATCACAAGCAAACCAGTTGCAATAGTACTGGGCCATGCTTGGGGAATTATGGGCCATTTCGCTCGACTCCGCACTGCTTTGCACGGCTCCGCAGATCAGCGCGATGGACCCGGCCCCTCCAATCGCAAAGGAGAACCGTTGGAGTCCCAGTTGGACCACATTTGGCCTTGCGGAATGGGGCCCTTTGTTCTTTTTGTGTGTGCCACACTACAGGAAATTCCTCTCGTTGAAAGGCAACATGGAGTGAACCATAGCGGTCATTCCAAAAGAGCTAAAAGCATCCTTTTGTGGCGAATATGAGAATCACATCATGCATCACTGCTTTGGAAATAGGCCGCTGATAAGAAACTGAGTCTTTGGGTATTCTGTTTGGATAGTCATGGATAGTCTATAGTTTAAAAGTCTTTGAGGGGTAAGTCATTGTCAGGGTGCGTGATCGACGTGGAAGAAGGTGCTTTTCTAGCAGCCAGACGCCGAGAACTTCGGTTCAATGATCCTCCTCCAAGGCAGGACCATTCTGTTCAATTTGGGGCAAGTTGCCATGAAAGCTTGCCACGGTATTTAGAGATCACTTTTGACCCAGGCCAGAAGTATGTCTGGGTGGCTCGAGACCAGGCGTGCCGCCCTGTTCGCACGGTCCGCATCGTATGGGCACAAAGTGGGTTGGGTGGAGGATCCTTGGGTCCAGGGCCGGCTTGAACTCATGTTCCACTCATGCTCAACCAAAAAGCCTTGCAAAAGCCTTTCACTGTTTCAACATGTTTCACACAAACACTTGCCGCAACATGTGGAGAACGAAGGTCTACACCGCCAGTGTGTTCACCCACTTTTGTTGAAAGAGTTTCCGTTCTGGAGATGTTCAATCGATGAGGACCCAAAGCCTTCGCCGTGTGCAAAGCCAGCTAGAGTGTATCGAAGTGAACCAGCCCGCTCCGTTGTTACTCCACTTTATTGGCAAGGAATAAGATTGTTTTGTACACTCATGGTTGAAGCAATCAATCTTCTACATGTTTCTGGAGATATCTATTCCCTTCAACTGCACAACCATATTTCTGTGCACTTGAGAGGGTACAAGCTACTGGCAGTATTGATCAGCATATCAAAAAGTGCAAGTTGCATCGTAGAATACCTGCTGCCTGACATCCTTCTAGCAAACACGTATCCAAGGGTTTCTTTTTGCATTTCCGGTTCAGCTAAAAAAGTGCACCATGCTTTCAGTTAGTTCCATAAGAACTGGATCTCACGGCCAGCAACTAGTAGCAAAAGAGCGGTCGCTGGAGCTCGTCAGGACCGAGCATTAGCAGCCTGGCAGAGCAGACAAGGGTTTCTTTGGGATTCTTGCATAGCTGAAGGTCAGTGTTTGAAGATCATTTTGACAGTTGTTTTTGTTCGAGGGACTTTTTTGCGATTTTTTGTTGCGGTGCATTGTACCGTGATCTTGGCAACTGAAGATACAATGTTGAATTTATGCAAAGTGTTCTCTCTAGAAGTAAGACGTCCCAAGTTTGCAAGCTTTGGGCACCACGAATCTACAAAACAGCCAGAGTTCCTTTTGTTCAGACAGAATGAGCCATTGACAAGTAGCTTAAACTGTCGCGCCAACTGTCGCGACTTACGCGTCGAACCTAGGAGATCATCCTCGGTCAGAAGAGCCCCATGTACACAACAGATCCAGAGAGGATGCTCATGTACACCTTCAATAAGCGTGTACAGTGCGAGGGCCCAGAGTCAGATGTGGTCAGATATTGTTGACCATTGCTTGTTAGGTTTTGGATCTTGGAGCCATGGTGCTTGGAAATGCATCGGAATACGAAAAGACACAAACAACTCGCATGGATCCATCGGGAGACCCGTCGCTGTCATCTTCCTGCTTCCGTCGGCCAACGCCGTCAGCCTCGCATGTTGTGTTCGGCCGCTCGCACAACCCGTCGCCGGTCGTTGCCCGTTTTG